CAATTCATAAAATTTATCACAAAATTCCGGATTTCTTATATAAATATGAATGAAATCAAAAATTGTCTTCATGTGGTTTTCTTAGAAAAACCAGGCTGCTCTATTTTGAGACTGACCGTATATATGAGATTAAAATTATAATTAGTAAGATGTTAACTCATTTAACTTTAATAAAACACACTTATTAAATCATCTACATTTTGAATTAACAATAAAAATTATAATGCTTGGTCATAGCTTTAATTCAATGTTTTTTCTAAACATTTCATATTGTATTATAAAATAAAATAAAATTAACTTACAATTTTCATAATTAAAGGAATAAATTCATTTAATTTTTAAAATCATCAAACGTTTTATTGTGCCGTATACTATTATACATTCAAATGAGGCAATTACTGTCTTTCCATTGGAGGGGATAACTAACTCTCAGCCAATCATTGCGTTTGTCGTGACAGTCCTCCCACGCTATGTTCGATATAATCCTATTCTTATTGTTTTGCTTCAGGAATACCTCATAAACCTCTTGCGATAAATATTTGAAGCCGTCATTATTGACCATTATTTGACCAGGGCGATTTATATTTGCAAACAATCCTTTTCCAATAGTAGCTTCACCAATGTGGTTGTTATCAAGATCAATAGTTAACTTAATATCATCATAGCTTGGTGAAACTTGAAATGCATCATCAGCAATCACGCTTATGTTATTCTTAAATAACAGTATATCGCTTAGCCTGGGCATATTACTATACGCTAGGCTACCGATTGATTTCAGTCCTTTATTTTCGGTAATCATGACCGAGATCAAACTCTGGTGCGACTGAAATGCTTTATCAGGAACACTTGTTAGATTTGTGTTAATTATAAACAACTCACGTAGATCAATTAATTGTACTGCTTTAAAAATGTCGTAGTCACCATGGTCATCATTTACAATTGGGGTGTGTATTACGGATAATTTGCTCAAGGTTTCATTAGATGCCTGAAACGCATGTACGTGAATACGTGTAAGTTTGCTTGCTGCAAATATTTCAACTTCGTCTGTAAACTTAATGTCGGAAAATACATTGGCAGGTATTTCGGTGATGACCTTGTTGCTTATTTCGATTGATTTAAAATTTTTGTCCTTGCCGTCCAATTCCTTGCTTAGTTTTTGGAATATGCTAGGTAAGTCGATCGGATCGGTCCCGGTACAAATAATGTCTCGTTCACCTTTGCACGTGCATGGTGCTAATATTGCAGGGTCGCTGGGGCATACATCGGCCAATGTAGACCCATAAACGATCACCAGGATTGTTACAATGTTATGAAATGTATCTGAAACATTGCAAAAAAAATATTAATTTTATAATGAGATTTTAATTACTTACTCATTTTATTTTTAATTATTAATGTGTTACAATTATGATTTGTCTTGCATTTATATACCTTCAAGATTTTTATACCTAATAATTATGTAGAAATAATTATCGATTATCGAAGTACAAATTCGGTTTAACATGTATCAAGGTTGTTAAAATATGCACTTTAATTCATTTTTATATTTTTAGTATTATTTTTTGAAATGCACTTTAGTTCACTATTATGTTCAGCTACTGAAATTATGTTCAAATTAGTTACATTGAAAGTGCAACATTAAATCGATAAGATTGTTTGCACAATGTTGATAATTTTTCATCAGTTTCTAATTACATTTTAGTAACTATACCTGTATGCTCAATTAGATGATTGTACGCAAACTCTACAGGCTTAAATTTTGGTGCATTGCACACAAAGGTTTATCGGAAAACTATACATCTTAAAACCAGTTATCAATTTAATACAAAATTTTAAAGATAAAAACTTTTATCTGGCCCTGCACTAAATGTTTGTAAAACCTATTCGGATTAAAAGTTCGTCCAAGTACATCTTATACAAAATCATATAATACGACAATGAAACAATTTAATCAAAGTATTATTTAAATTGATAACGATAAAGTATTATGTCCACATGGCAAATTTTCTCTAACTTTCAAACTTATATAAATAAGCAGTTTCATATTAAGAAATATATAACTATTAATATAAATTAACTGATAATCTGCAGGTTGTGTTTATTAATTAGAAATGAGTAAGTAATATTATTAATAAATTATTTTAAATCTTATATGTTATATAATAAAGATTCTAATGAATTATAGTTTAATTTATAAATAACCCACTCATTTATTATTATTATAACCCAGGTTGGCTAAAAGGACAGGTATTTGCAATTTGTCTGACGATACTATTCATTAATAGTATTTTAGCGGGAGATTGCCCTGATAATCCAAATGTCCTAGCACCGTGTGAGTGTAAAAACTTTAACGAAACGCACAAGATGATTTACTGTCCCGAATATGTCGAACTTGATGTGGTGGGCGTATTCAAAAATCTTAGCCAGGCACTTGCTGGGAAGAATAAACAGTTTTATCATCTGAGATTTTTCAACAAGCTCACTGAGAAGTTGCCGGCTAACGCGTTCGCCGATATTGAGTTTCAGGACATTTGGATCTCTGATACACGAATTGAAAGGATTCACGAAAATGCATTCAGCGGCACGAAAAACACGTTAACGAAGTTGATTATCGATAGGATACCGATTGTCGATGCGAACGGTACGGGTGATAATGATCTGTTCAAAGCTATAAGACAGTTACCCAGGTCAGATTTTACAAATTTGTAAATTAATTGTTTTTATTTTTTAAATGTAATTTTCTAGAATTTGTATTTTATTCGCTTTGAATTTTAATTAAGTTTTATTTATTCTTTATTTTATATTATAGGCTTATATAAATATATATGAATATACAGCATTTAATATTTTTAGAATAATATTTTTTTAATAGATAAGTTTTAATTTATCGTTTTGTACATTTCTTAATTTAATCATAAAAACGAGACCCCATTTTAGGCCAAAATTATTTTCTAAATTTAATTACTTAATTATGTGCTAATCTTTAAAATATATTACAGTTTTACTAATAATATTGTTATGTTATTATATTGGAATTAGTTTTATACTATAATTCATAAATAATTTCTATTTCAAAATTTCTGGCTATACCAACAATCACCATTATTAAATACAACTAATTTATTAATAAAATTAAACTTAACTAGATTGACCGACTTGGAAGTCACTCGCACCCTCCTAACAGAGATACCCGACGGTGCACTACAATCACACCCTTCACTCATCCGGATAACCCTATCCAACAACTTTGATATGAAGAGAATAGGGAAACACGCCTTCAGTGACATTAAAACCCTATTTTACGTAACACTCGAAGAAACGGACATTTCCTTCATATCCGACGAAGCCTTTAGTCAAGAGTCGGCTGAACTCGAGTTTATCATCCGGTTTATGGGCGACGACGAGGCGGCTTACCTTCCGGCGGCTTTCCAGTCAATCAAACGCCCGGTGAACCTACACCTTACCCAACTGTTCCCGGGAAAAGGCGGTTCAAATATTCCCCTTGAGTTTCATTATATACCGGAGTCCACGTATCGCCCGTTTCTGGATCAGCACCCAATGCACCGGATTTTTTCAATGTTAGATTCCGATGATTGCGATGATAAGCGTAATGATTGGCTTAGAAAAAGGTCCCCGAACCAATGGTTTGATGAGATATGTCATTATAAGTGATTATGACTGCATATTTTGATTAAAAAATTAAAATAAATAAAGTTACAGTAAAATATTTTGTTACTAGATATTTTATTAATACTATGAAAATTTCGAGTTGAATATAATTTTTAAAAATTGATAATTTTAAATATATTGACATTAAATATGATATGATATAACGCGTTAGACTTAGTGATGATTTAATGATATTTATTAGATCTGAATACTCGAGTACTTTCGGTCCTAATCGGAGTCCTCGTTAGGAGTTATTACCAAATATGAAAACTAAATGAATTAAAAACCTTCAAAACTAGATAATAGACAAATCGCGTGATCTTATCGATAACTAAACTCCAGATTTCATTTCATTTAAATCCTTTATCCCTATTGAGAAGTGATGTTTCATAACAAACATTTCAAGTATTAACATTTTAGCATGGTAATCCATTTTACAATTTAGTCAACTCAATGTTAATATTAAAAATAAATATTTTACCCATTGAATTAATGTCCAACTGATTATGACAAATACTACAAAAATGGCTTATACCTAAAATACAAATAATATTACAGTTGTATTTTAGCAAAGGTATTCATATGAAATGGAAATCTAAGCCTGTCAACAAACAATTAATTAAATTAAAATTATTCATCAATAATATTTTAATTTTACAATTAGTAAGGGTATATTTTTTAGTTTTTCATTGTGTTATACATAATGCAAAGTAATCATAAACATATTCAAGATAGTAAATTGGATAAATTGTAAAAACCCCCAATTAAATACGTTTGCATTAAACATAATTTATAATAATAACTTTGTATTATAAGTTTGGTTCTAATATTAACCTAGTGTATTTTTGATGTATTTTTATATTTAAAACATTTAATTGTGATATTATTACTTATTTTATATTATAATTATAAAAAAAATATTTTTATTATTTTAATGTCAACATAATATGTATACAGCATAGTATATTATACTAAATACGATATATTATATTTGCATTTGCACTACGTAAGTAGATAATATAGATGTAGTTGATAATTTATTTTACAATAGTACATTGTACTGTAGTACATATTATATTAATAGTACAGTACTATTATCAGTAAATAATACAATTTTCATTAGAAATAAAAATGATTTTTTCAAATTAATGATCTAGCTGTCAGAATAAATAATGTATTTTAAGTAACAAAAATATTTTAAAACTAAAATAATATTTAGGTCAGTAGATAGATAATAATCATTATTAAAATGTAAGTGCTACATTAAACTGTACTGTAAATATTAAAATGTTTTAATAAACAATTATTATCATCATGCATATACCAAGATTATCAGATATTAATATTTTATTAAAACATGAAAATATTTATAATAAAAATATTTTTATTGATTTCTATATAAATCTATTTAAACGACAAACTTCTGACTCAAATAAACACCAAATCTATGAATATATTGTGTATTATATTTATTATTTAAATATAATAAAAATACTAATCAGTATGAATTACATGGATTATAAACACCGACTCCAAGTGTATGATATTAGCTTGTTTATGGGAAATATTTACAAATACAATAGTTTTGTATTAATCCTACTACATATTTATGGTATTAACTTGTTTAGATTTTATCACTTAAATAAATCCAAACATTATTTAATAATTACAAACATTTTTGACGCCATCAACGGTACTAATAATGCAAATGTCATATTCACCAGGGACTATTCATTATCCATATTAATAAAATTAAGAAGATTAGCTAGATATGTTTATAAAATGCCGACAATTAACCTGGTTCCAACATGTAAGTAATAGCATTATGACATTAATACATTTATTCATTATTTATTTACTTAAAATATTATTTATTTTACAGATTTAATGTTAATTTTAATTATGATAGAAATACATATCAAATATTACTATGGTAACTTTACTATAATTACATTGATCTTTCAAACATTAACGTATATATCATTGTATTGCGTAATAATTGATTCATTGGTTAGCATACCGATTATAATCATTGTCATTTATTACTTGTTTATCAGGATTAATTTTATTAATAAATGTATGACACATCTTATTGATAAGCATTGGCAGGTTGATACTACACAATTAATGAATTATATAAATAACCATAATCAATTATGCGTAACAATTGTAAATATTAATAAAATATTTTCTAAATTGTACATGACAATTATACTAACCATTGGACCTATTAATTTAATATTTGTACATTATATATTTTTTGAGTACCTATCTACTCAAATATGGCTGATTTTGATGTTTGCAACCCTCGTCATGTCCGGTATATTTTGTATATTACAGTGTATTGTAGCCCTACTGTCCAATAGGGCTCACAAACACTGCAAACGTTTAGCGCGTATTCAATGGTTTATTAATAGACTTGATTTGAGACATAAACTCAAACTTCAGACATATTTTGAGAGACTTTCCGCTAAGCGTAGGATTGGGTTCACTATTGGCTCAGTAATGGTGATGTGTTTCCCTGTGTTTTACCAGGTATATGATCAGGGTATTCATGAAACTGTTGTTTAATTATGTATATTTTTATTTTAGCTTTCATTGCGATATATGCGATATTTTATACTAATTCATAGGAATGCTGAAAAACATCGCATAAATAATCAATTGTTTATTGGTTAATGTGCCACTGAGCACCTGTAGCAAAATAAATTATGTATACCATTTTCCAATTTATTGTTTAAAATAATTTTTATTATGTATGATTGTAACATTTGAATGTAATTACAGTTTGCTTGAAATAATTTTTAAAAACAAAAACCTAATTAAATTTTTAAAATAATAATAATATTTTTAAATGAAATTAATATCTGCTAATACACTCTAATTGGTATATAATATTTACCTAGAGGCATTGTACTAAATGATTCTACTTATTATTAAATAATATAAGAATTTAGTCATGGCACAAAAAAAATTTAAATAATGATATCATATCATGCCAGTTAAATATTTACAAAAAATACAAGGGAATTATAAAATTATTTAATAATAATTACAGTTTACAAAGGTTGTAATTCCCCAAATTTATTATATCTGATTTGGTTAGTCTCTCCAATTTTAATATTATAATATATTTTATTATGTATAATTAAAACATTTAAATATAATTACAGGTTCTATGAATTTAAACTTTTAATTTATTTCTTAAAATCTAATTTATACTGATAAATGAAATCAATATCCGCTCTAAATAAATACTCTCTAATTACTAAATAATTTTGCCAATAAGTTTTTATTATATTTTATATAAATTAGATTTTGGCAAAAAATACATAAGATTTAGTGAAATTGTGTGCATTTTTATTTTATCTTAATTACGTTATATGAAAAATTTTATAATATCGCGTAAAATGCAAAAAATGACATAAATAACCAATTACTTAATTTTTAATATACTAATGGTTAAGCAAAATAACAAACTTTTGTTTGACTTCCAACATTTATAATTTAAAATATTTGTTATTTTATAATTGAAACATTTAAATTCAATTACAGTTTAGATGGAATATATTTTAAAACAGAAATTTAATTTTTATCGCAATATTTATTGACATTTTATATTATAATAATATAGTTATATTTATAAATAAACTAGTCACTAGCATAAATCCTTATTTAATTTTTAAAAAATATAATCTTGTCCTAAAAAACATATTTGAAAGGCTTCGTACCATAATTAAAAATTAATGAGATATTGTTAATCATAAATAAACGGATTTTAAATTTAGTACAGTTCATATGGAAATTATAATTTGCTGCAGTAGTTATACAAATTATTTCTAAATTATATTTTAATGTAAATTTAGTATTGAAAACATTACTATTAATCAAATAATGTAATTAATGTTTAAGTTATGTATAATAAAAATCAATATATTGCATTATAAAGACAATTAATCTATAATTAAGAATTTATTAATAAATATAATTAAGTCAGATATAACATTAAAATAAAGTTTATAATTTAAGTATTTATTATATTTATAAGTTTATAATAATAAATTATTATTCGTTTACGAATAGATTAATTAATTAATATGTTTTACTATTGTCTAGCTACATTTATATAATTTTTGATTTATGGTTCATTGAATGTTACATTAATGATACATTATTTTCAATATTATCTCACGGTTATGCAATAAATCATTTGTATAAATCATGGCAATATATGTTTTATGTATTATATAAATATTAGACACGTGTACAAGATACATTGCATTTTATAAATCAAAACAATATTGTTACTTAAGATAAATACATGGTCATTTATAAATTAGTATTTCTAAACACGTGTAACGGAATAATTTATTATGATTTTCAATAATTTTGATTTTTCTTTGTTTGCAATTTGTATATAAATGTAATTATAATGCATACTATTTATCATTTATAGTTTCAATAATAGTTAAAAGTTATACTGCTAATAAGACAAATTTTAAAGTATGTATAATTTATAAGATGTATTTAAAATTGAAAAATATTATTACTTGTAAATATAAAAAATTAATTAAACTAAATAGGGATTTTAATTCATTTATAAAACTATTAGAAATTTGTTTTAAATATACATTTATTACTACTTTTAAAAATACTGATGAATATTTTGGGGTTTATATAAATAAACGGAGATTATTTATTGCTATAATGTACAGGGTGGTAGCACTTATTTTTGTTATCCGTTTTTATATATTAGCAAATATTATTGACCATGAAGATTATAAAATATTATTAATGGATGTTAGCATGCACCTTGGCGATCGTCAAATTATACATACATCAATATCAATAATGTGTACAACGTTATTTCTGTTATACGTGTTAATACTTTATTTGGAGTGTACCAGGTCATTGTATACCATAACTTTCATTCAGCAATTTAAATGTGGGAAATTAAAATTTCAATTAAATAAGTACTTTAAAAGAAAATTAATTGTACATGTTAATATAATGACATTCTACATTTTATTGCCACAAACAATTCTATTAGTTTTACTTTGCTCCTTTGCACATTTATTACAACCTAATTATATATTTATTAGCTCACCAAGTTTATGTTGTTTATTGAGCTTGACCATTCACAACATTATATTACAAATATTTATATTGCTGATGATAGGCTTAACAATCTGTGGTACTTTGAGTTGCTACTTTTCTTTAGTATACACCATGTACAAATTTTTAGATATTTATTATACAATTAAATTTTGTATAAAATACAACATGGTACGTCAATTAATTATAAGTATCAATGTGCATAGTTACTATGCATTGATTGTGCACAAACTAAACATGACCATGCGTGTGTCAGTATTAATATTTGATTACCTTACTCCATTTGGTTTGCAAGTATGTATTTACGTTGTTCATAAGCACGGGATATCAATAATAGCGAGATTTATTTACTTTGGGTATTTATTGCTAATGGTTGGCATGTTTGCATATATGGCCTGTTATAAACTACCAAAAATAGCTACCTATGCCCAAATGCCAAACACAGTTTTATTAGCATACCTGTCCCGAGCACCGGTACTATCACTTGCGAATAGGGTAAGGGTGCAGACATTCATTAAACAGCTGTCGGGACCTGATATCGGGTGCTATTGTTATGACATGTTTCCCATTAATAGTTACGAAATGTATCAATATTTCTATATTTTTGGTCAAAACTATTTCCTAGTCATGTCACTCGTTTGATATACATTAGACAAAGCGTCCATTTGAACCTTGATTAACTAAAAATATAATGATATTTAAAAATGGGAGTCATAATTAAAAATTAAAAGTCTATTAGTTGTTGTCCGATATTTTAATAAAATTTAATAAATTATAACTTATAACTTATGTCCAGTATATATTGTACTTGTATTAGGGCTCGCAAATACTGCAAGCCTTTTGATTTGAGACATAAACTCAAACTTCAGACATATTTCGAGAGATTGTCCGCTAAGCGTAGGAATTGGTTCACTATTGGCTCAGTAATGGTGATAAATATTAGGAAAATGATCAGGATGTTACTTAAAATGTTATTTAATTATGTGCATTCTTATATGCCATATTTATACTAATCCATAAAAATTTAGAAAAACTTTCCGTTAGTAATCAATTGCTTAATAGATAATGTGCTAATGAGCACCTGTAACAAAATATTATAGCCATCGAAGTTTTCCCAATTTTTATTATTAAAATATCTATTATTTTGTTTAAATGAAAAATTAAAATTTAATTACAGTCTGTATGAAATTAATTCTAATATTAACTTTTTCTAAATATATAATATTTATACTTATAAATTAAATAAATATTTTTGATTAATAAATAATATTTGCCTAGATGCCTTTTAAGACATTTTATAGCAAATAAATGATAGCATAAAAATATTAAACATAGAAACAATAAATTTGATACAAATGTTCCCGAAATATAATAACTCACATTTTCACTGATAAATCTATCAAGACGATTTTTGATTTAGATGTTAATTACATCATACATATTAAAAGTGATATTTTATATGAATAGACCTTTTCATCTAATAGAGACCCCGGGGTATAGTTAAAGATTATTTTAAAACATTTATAATATTTATTAATAATATGAATTAGACATTTATAAAATGTACGTTAAATGACATGACATTAAATATTTAATTATCTGAATATCAGGTATACATCGGGTGTCGGGATGAGAATAGGGGAGAGACGGCTGTCAAAGAGATTCAATCAATGAATCCAAAGGCAGACATAAAACTACTAAAACTTGATTTGTCTTCACTTCAATCGGTCCGCCATTTCGCCAAAGAGTTGTCTCAATTGGAGTCCAAAGTGGATATCCTTATCAATAACGCCGGGGTTAGGGTTACGGACTGTCCTGACCTACTGACTAAGGACGGGTTTGAAATGCAGTTTGGGACCAATCACATGGGTACTTTGCTTAATAATTGTCCACTTTTGTCCTACTGACTTGAAAACCAAATTAGGCCTCCTATAGCCTCCTGACCTCCCCATAGCCCAAGAGCTGGTTATATATTTAATTATTATTAAATAGTGTTTTTTATTAATTTATTACAAAGTATTTGAAGTAGTTTATAGTTAAATCAGTTAATAATTTACTAATTTAAATTATAATTACGTATAAATAGCTCTGTTTTCAATCATTTTTAGGTCACTTTCAGTTATGTTATGTATACAGTTTGCATTAAAAAAATACATAACCCTTTTAGGCACCCAGTGGATCAATTATAATAATTATCCACTTTTGTGTTACATAATTGCGAGTCTACTATAAATCTAATTACGACTATAATTTTAGGTCACTTTCTGTTGACATTACATTTGGTGCCATTGCTGAGGAAGTCATCGGCGGCTCGTATTGTAAGCGTGTCTGCGTCCGCCTACAAGTGCGGGGAAATACATCTAAATAACATAAACCTCCAAAACGGTGATTATCACCCGTGGGTGGCCTACACACAGAGCAAACTGGCCAATGTCCTGTTTAGCCGAGAGTTGGCTAACCGCCTGAGACATGTTCACATAAATACATATGCATTAAATCCCGGTGTGATTGACACCGATTCGGAAAGACATGTCGAGAAAGTGGATGAGACAAAGGGAAAGGGATTTATGAAAAGACATCTAATGATGACACCTTTCATAGGATCTCAGACTACGTTGTATTGCGCTCTGGATGAGGGTCTGGACGACGAATAGGGGTCTGGCGGGTCAAATATAGATATAATAGGGGTCTGGCGGGTCAAATACCGATAAAATTTGGGTCTGGCGGGTCAAATATAACTATAGTGGGAGTCTGGCGGGTCTGGCGGTCTGGCGGTCTGGCAATTAAGGCAGTGCCGGATTTACATTTTAAATTTTTCAAATATCTGTTATTTTCTATGTGCTAGGACACCTTAAAGTTTTCAAATTAGCATTGACTATTGCCATAAGAAAATATTGCTGCAATAAGAAAAGTGATATTTATTTTCTTATGGCAATAGTCAATGCTAATTTCCCTGAACATTAACTTTAACCATTAAAAGTTGTACAATCATTATGATAAATGTGGTTTTAGAGGTTTTGCATTCATAATAATAGTAAAATAGACCTTAATGATATTATATAACTGTGGTATTTAAACTAAAGCAATAAAACATAAATATTATTCTGAATAACAATATTTTGTTAGGTATTACAGCAAATAGCAATTATTTGTAATTATAATTGTAATTATAATTACAATTGTGAATGAGTATTTCTCAAATAGCTTAATAAATAGATTGATAATAATATATACTACTAATATTATACTAATATTAATAATAATACTAATATATATACCTACTTGATATAATGAAGAGTGAAGCAAGTGATAATATTATTAAATGCAATGAATTGTTACCAGGGTCATTGGTGATAGGGAGGGCCGGTACTCATCTCTACATTATATCAAGTAGGTATATATATTAGTATTATTATTAATATTAGTATAATATTAGTAGTATATATTATTATCAATCTAT